AAATGAGTCCTCCCTCTCCTCCTCAGATAACTGTCTATACATACTACAATAAGAACCACATTATCATTATAGATGATACATGTAGTTTATAAAATCTTATACAAGTACATTTGTACATGTACAGTACATGCAGTAATTGTACATGTACATGTATTGTATAGTGTAATGGGAAGCATTGGGAGGAACTAATGGTTTGGCCAAAAATTAAAATTGATAGTTGTTATATTGACATTCTGGAGCCATGCATCATTGAGCAAGCACAGAATCATACAAAAGTGGTTTTTGTATAATACATGTACTATAATCTCTTACCCAGATAGTGCTTCCTTCAAGAGTCTAAAGTAAGGCATCCTTGCATGCTTGAGACCATTACAATGACCGTTGCATGGGAGGTATATCAAATTACTGTTACGTGTAGTTGGAGTACTTACAATAAATGATAAATGAGACACATACATCAATAATACTGATAACAGAATACATTATGTATATACTCATGAGAGAACACTGAGAACATATAGGACACTTAAAAGAACATGGACACTATAAAATTATTGAGAGAAAGAGGGAGAGAAAGATACATTTAATATGTGAAGAAGAATTAAGAAATAATAACTTGTAAAAGATAATATGTACATTGTACATGTACATGTAGAACATTGAAAATTATCACTTAAAAATTATCAAAAGAAAGAAAGAGAGATAAATACATTGAATAGGAAATGGGAAATACATAAAAGGAATAATACAGTAGACAGGGGCGTATCTAGGAATTGGAGGAGTGGGGTGCTGAGGGCGCGCGAAGCGCCGCAATTTTGGCCACACCCACTTTACGGCGGTAAAACGGCCTTTTCCTGCATTTTCGTCAATTACGGGTGGGGCCAAGATTATTTCAAGCGGCATACTGCTGTGTTACTGGTACTTCTGATTGCTCCTTAAAGCACTGGAAACTGCTGAAATCATGATAAGGGGGCTAGATAACTTTGTTAAAAGGCTTGGTAGTGATGCAAGAGTCCAGGAGTTCAGTAATTTTTTCTGAGCCCAGCCCTGAGGGGGGTGCTCAAGCCCCCTCAGCCCCCCCCCCTAAATACGCCTCTGGTAGAGAAGATACATGTACTGGAATTAATGTACATGTACATGTGTCCATACCTGATAGACTACTCACACAGCCTGTCCAGGGGAGGAGATTATAATGACCACAACTAACATCACTGGGCTACAATAATAAAAAAACACACCATAGCTAAAATATACAATGTCTTATCATACCTATATACATGTAGATTTAGTTGTGATTGACAAATCAGGTTGCTTGATTTCAGATTCATAAATAACTTTCTTGCTGGAAAGGTCATGTATAGACAGTTACATTGTGAGGAGATTATGATGAGTCTGCAGTTGATAAATCACATGTACTGTACCTTTAGCCTCAGCATAAACTAATACATGTGTAATCTCATTAACCTCCAGTTGTAATGCATACTTGTACATGCAAACTGCAGTGTTGCTAAGTAAACATTGTAATTATTGTCTAGTTCTTTCTACGTTTTACTTTACTGACAGTCATTCACATTTACAGGCATCATATCTAACCTCATGGATAAACTTATACCTCCAGTTTGTATGCATACATGCTGTGTTGCTAAGTAAACTATTAAGGCAGGCCTACAATATGATAGCATTAGGCCAGCGTATGTACCTTCAATTTTTAACAATTTTTGGGACACTTGACCTTTTGATGAATGCTTTCCACTAGGCTAGAACCAGATTCTATTACAGCATCAAGACTACTGTAATATTTTAAACCCACCTTTAATTTACTTCTGTACTTTCTAGGCATTTAAATGTACATGTATACATGCATCATTATCCATCAATTTACATTGCATTATTACTGTTGTATGTACATGTACATGCACTTAATTCATGTACATGCATGTATTGGTACCTTTTCAATGAAGAATGGACGTGTGAACTTGATAGCCATTGCATAAGTACAAGTACCAAGGATGTTAGTAAGGACAAGAGGAACACAGGCTGGCTCCCTCTCAGGAGCATACAACTGACAACCATCTTGAGAGGAGAGAGGGAGAAGTAAGAAAACAGAAAAAATTAATTTAAAAGTTAAAAATTACAGTACATGTACATGCATATGTATTGTTGTAATAATGTTTATAGATGTATATGCACATTTATTGCATGGAAAATTGGATATATAAAATAATTGAGAGCCATTATTTTTCAAGTGTTAAGATTTAATTAATCGATCTTGATAACTAAGCAACACTTAACCAATAATAATGAGGAGAATAATAATAATAGGAAAGAACAACAAAGAGAGAAAAATGTCTGTGCTTATATATACTAGCAAGATGTCCAGAATGTTCTAGAAGAAGGATACAGACACAAGATCAAGAGACTAAGAGAATAATCTAGAAAGTTCCTGTTTACACAAACAATGAATACACAATAAATAATACACATGTACATACAGTAATAACATGTAGATCTAATCTGTCAAAAGTGGTTAAATAATATCCTCAACATCAAGTACCTGGATATAAGAAGTGATGCAGTGATTCTACCGTCTCCCAGATGAGTCCTAAATCCTCCATTCTGAATCTCTTATTAATGCCCACCCCATTGGCGAGTGATTTGTCATCAGAAGGAGTACCAGCTGAAGGATACACATTAGTGGCACTACCAGTCTTGTTAGAGGAGCAATTAGGATGGACGACACCTAGGGCCAGTACTTGTATGAACTGGACATTAATATCACGAGTTAGTAGGGCTGTGAGGTATTAAATATAATGATACCTCAGTACGGTATTGACAAAATATCCCGGTATTACTAAATATAGTAAATTATTTTAAAATACTAAAATAATTAATAGATAATTTAATTAATTAATCTTTTAGCTTTGAATGCTGGCAAGTATTGTACTTAATTTAAGTTATTTTAAAGTTAAAGATAACAAGCGTAACAGGGTAAAAAGTATTCCTATAATTGATTTCACCACCTTGCAAGTACAACTTGGTCATTATTAAGACTTATAGAGGTTATCTCTACCTTATAATGCTTCTAGAGAAGTCTTTAGACAGTATCTCTATGCTCTCTTGCTGTTAGAAAGCTCTTAACTTGTCCCATGTGTAAGCCGCCATTTTGTTTGCCGTGACCACACCCACTCACGTAAAGGAGCGTGGGCGGATGGTTGCTAAGGCTTGTTATTTCTCCAATACAACATGTATAGAAGAAATGTAAGTGTGGACATACAAATATATATATATATATATATAGCGCGACGGTGAATTCAATTATAGGAACGACCTGGGGGCTTCGCCCCCAGGTCGTTAAAAACTAGCCATTGCACTGTGTCTGGCACAAAATGGTGTCATAATTCTTTGTATTTGGCACTACTAAAGTACTGTAAAAGTACGGTATTGACAGTATAACAGTATTAGTAGTTGATACTATTAAAAACTTTTGAAACTTAAATATATACCTTCTATATCTAAAAGCAATACCTCGGTATATAGAAATATAGGTATACCTCACAGCCCTACGAGTTA